CATGAATCACTTACATCCCATTGATGTTGGCAGCATCCACGTTTGTGATTGAATTGATACTTTCGCTGCTTTTGCTCTTCTGCAATGGAGCTGCAGGATTGATCACTGTGCTAGCATTAGGGCACGCTTCCTTCAGAGGTGGTGGGATGGAGACAGGACGTGCAGAGTATGTAGGAACTGCCTGAAACAGCTGACATGCAAACAATTGCATGTGTATGCAAGAACTTTTTAATAAAGAGTTTGATTAAGTGTTAATGCTATTGCTTACAATTTTTCCGATTTTACGAAGATTATTTTGAGGTAATCACGAATACCATGCATTTCCTTAGTGTTTACTTTTCATTTGGAAATTCCTATCTCAGCATTCAGCAAATACTAAGAATCAAGAGATCCCGACTAACGGATACAACTCCTTGACATTTATTACGAAAAACCAGACCTTAGAACGACACCAAAAAAGTGGCCTAACAAGCAACTCACTATGTCATCATCGAAAGAACGGTCCCGATATACTTCAATCCACTCGCGCAAAGTGCTCATCTCGGTGTCGAACGTAATTCTTCCTTTAATTGCTTTGTCGTAAAGTGAGCTAACGACTTGCTCATTATGTTTTCCGAGAAATCTCCAGATCGAAACCGGCTCTGCTTGTATTTCTTCCTTCATCATTTTAGATTCCCGTCGAGAGTTGAATAGGAACGTCCCAAAGAGACCGGAGTAGGCATGCTGTGCGAGCTTGATCTAAATTTCAACCATGCAGATAACATCAAGGTTTATCTACAAAAGGATTCAAACATATACTCAACAATAAAAAACCATTGCTATTTGGCATCGCAGGGTAACTCTTTGCTTAAGAATTACATCCTTTATGAAGAAGAGAAAAAAGATAAAATGCACTGCTTTCCTTCTTAGACAAGCTCAATTAGAAAAAAAAGCAAAAATTACAGGAAGTCTGAGGTAAGGTTTTAGAGGCCATTTGAGCCTTTATGGAGAGCACGCGTGGTATATGAGACGAAATAGCAAATTTACGTCGCTGAGAGAATTTACTGAGAAAACCTTACATCAAACCCTGAGCTTTGTTAGCTGCTTAAAAACCCCTAAACAATCACGTTTCTCTGTTTCATAAGAGAAAAATGATACATTCCCGGCGAGATGTAGCTGATTTAGCTTATGTTGGCTCCGTTTCAGCACTAGAATATATATTGCATATGAGATGTGCGTCCGCGAGAAGGGCTTGTTTGCTTAATGAGGCAAAGATTCGCATATTGCGGCCCTTATTTGTTTCGCACCGATCCGTCTAAGACGAACACCCGCATGTGATAGAAAGAC